ACGATCTTGACCTTCTAAAGTTCAGACCTCCAAGTGTTCTCATACTGGTGATTAGATTCCACCATGTGAACTTGTGGGCACACAAGAATCCATTCAGTCCACAGCATTTGCCTGAGAGTAACTGAATGGATCACTGTTTCATTGGTGATTTCCAAATTATGTCGACTTGCCTGGGACTTCAGTCTCATGACTTCAGTCCCTGCCAGTCTGGACCTAACCTGTTCATTGATATCTATGCAACCCAGAGTTGACATGGAGCTCAGCTTTATCACAGAATTATTTCCCATTTCTCAATTTTTTCAGAGCTTTGAAGACGACCAATACTTTCTGCTGTTCCAACCAGATAGTCAACATCATTCCAAACTGATGGTGTAACTCCATCCCCATAGAAGGAACTTGTACAGTCTTTCAAAAATATTGTACCATGTTGAGCAAGATACTGTGGTTTGTCTAAACAAACCACACTTTCACATTGTTTCTTATATTTATACACATAAATACAATTGAATGACTGAGCACTAGTGCAGGGCTAAACTTATATCTGGTGTTGAATTTACCTCCTTGGATACTTCACCATTTCTAACTTTTACTTGAATATATGGGCTTCCTTAGGCTTCTTATCCCAACCTTCTTGCTTTCTTCACAAGTATCCCTACTTTAGAAGAACACATAATACAAGTACCATTTTATAATGTAGCCTGAAAAATTTTCAGTGAAGAATAAAACACATTCCCATTTAAAAGTAAGTCAAATATAACAAACAGAGGAACTGTTAAAAAAAATAAGGATACATTCTTGTTTAGGGATAAATTATATAGATATTTAGATGGATGGATCAAGTGCTAAATGTAATGTACAGTATAATGCTAGATACTATGTAGGATATAAATGCTATATAACTATAAATATGTCATAGTAAATGTATAATATATAATAAAGCTACACAAACCCAACTAATAGAAAAGAGGTTAACTTTTCAATAATGTCAGAGGGGAAACTGCCTAGTAGAAATACAAATCTAATTAGATCCTATATCACAGTCCAAAAGAACTGAGATGGACTAAGAATTAAATAGAAAAATAAAACCAAAGGCAAAAAAAAATAGTATAAGCAAAAATATTATTTTTTCTGATTTAGAAGACTTCTGAATCAGAAGACTCTTGATTCTCCTAATTCTTTAAACAGCACAATCATTCCCTGTGTAAGATAAGCTCAAAAAATTCAAAGTCATCTTTGATCATCTTTATCTCTCCTGCCACTGTATGCATTGCATTATCTTTATTTCTATAGCTCTACATTCCATAAACTGTTTTGAGATTATTCTTTTTGAAGCAGAGCTCTGCTTATATCAAGCAAGTTTAAAAAAAAAATTTTTTTTTTCATTTCCACTGAGTTTCACTTTAGTGTGGTCTCTATCCCAGCATTAAAATGCTTTCCAATGTCTTTTCAAGTTTATGTTACACAAGTTATATGTCTTACTCTTTTCCACTCAGTGTCTTTGGGTAATACCCTTCACCTGAAATGCTATATCCATCCTCACCTGATTACTTAAAAGGCACACCCATGTCTAAGGAACTAATCCCAATACCTTCTTGCCACGCTGCTTTTCTCTACCCTGTCCCGGACAGGAGGCTGCCCATGGCCCTTCAGAAGTCCGTAGAGTGCTGCAGACACTCTGTCCTCATCTCAAACCCTCTCATGGACTGTCATTGGTTTGCAGTGACGCTGCCTGAGCCTTGCATCAAGCATTCAAATAATGATACCCGGGAATAGAGAGGCACATGGCAGTGAGCAAAATAAAAAGACATAGATACAAAGAAATAAAAACAAACAAAAAAGCAGACAAACAGGTGGACAGAGACAATTATCTAACTAGATCAATTAGTGAGTATAGGCCTGACTGAAACAAGAGAGAGACAGCAAGTATCTGTGTTTACTGAATTATTTTATTTCTATAATGCTTACCATAGTAGAAGTTCACCAACCATGAGCATTTGATCAGAGAAATAGCTTGTATACCAACCATGAGCATGATTTGATCAGAGAAATAGCTTGTATCCCAACACTAGAGAATTGTCTTGATAGGCAGTGGCATTTTTCTCAGGGATGTTCAGGGGTGATTCAGCCTATATTTGTTTTTCGATTTATATGCTGATTCTAAAACTTAGCTCATTTGTCAGCTGTTACAGTCATTTGGTTTTCAAATCCTCTTGTTACAGTTGTAAGCAACTTGACAAGGATCATTGACCCCCATGGTTCCTGGCACATACCTTGTATTAAATGATCTGAAGTAAGGATCTGGTTGAGTTCTCAGATTGTTTTCACTAAATTTCTCCCTGCACTCCTGAGTACCAACAATCCAATAGGCAAGTTCAAAACACAAACAGAAGAAAAAAATCCTGATTTTATATTTTAGCGTTTGAAGCACCATTATGTGAAAAACAGGACAATCAACATGGAACTCTAAAAAATAGTCATGTGGTATTTTGAAAATTATTTCTTCCTGGTAAAATAACAATAGTGGTGTTTGTAACTTAGAAGACCTACATTGCAACAGAAATGATGTCAAGTCCTTGAAAATAAGTCATATAAATTTTTTCTGACATGTCAATCCAGGTGGCATTAGGAGATAGATTAGATGAAGAATATAAAAGCTTTTAATAGAGATGAACTGTCTTTGGATTTGTTCATTTTGCAGTAACTGATTTCTGAACATATTTTTAGATCAGGTATTGCCCATATACCCATGTAACAAGACTATGAAGCCCGTGTTATGAATCAAAATATTTTTAAAAACACATGCACACACACACAAATACACATTCTGTCATTCTTGCCACTACAAACTGAGTCTGTGGAATAACTTCTAATTGTAAAACTTTTTTTAATGCTACCTTACTGTAGAGACATTTTTAAATGTAGAACTCATTTTTTAACCTTCTTTTCACAAACATACCATCAGCAATTGATCATTTATTGAAATATCAGTGTTACTAAATCACAACATTAGAAAAACAACTATCTAAGCACTATAACTATAAAAAGAATGCATTTCCTTTCAAACACAACTCTATGATAAATATCAGCACAAATCTTAAATCTTGTCATTATTCAGTACACTGAAGTCTGATTTTAAAAAGCAATGAGTTATTTGTGCATTCAAGTGGAAAAAATTACATACACATCACTAAATGCTAAAGCACAGGGATAAATGTAAATATCTAATTTTCATTCCATTTTAAAACATGTTTAATGGTGTAAATATACTTTTGGCTTCTTATTCACAGAAGGAGGCCATGAAATAAGAAACTCACTTTATTATTTTGTTTTATCATGTTTTTTGTTTTTTCAGTGAGAGGAATTATAATGGCCATCATTTTGACCTGAAGGCAGATAACTTAAAACATTTTCACTAGTCAAGGTAAATCAACTTTGCAAGCTCTTCTTTACAACTCCTTTTATCTAACTTAGTTACCAGAGTTGACTAATAGCTTTATACTATTAATGAAACATAGTGCCCCATTTCCCACCACTGGTTCATTTGTTATAAAGCAAAAATTGTCTTCTCTCCAGCTATCTTTCTCTAACAAGCTAAAAAGTTCACAGTAATTAATAGTTACAAATCAGTTATGTGTTTGTGTAGCTATTTCAGTTTCTCCATCATTGCTTTGGAATACAAAATGCAATTAAAAACTTTTGATATTACAGTAGCATCATTCAAACACATAAAAATACATCAAGAATATAAGCCAAATAAGAGAGCAAATTCTACAGTTAAATGTTGAACCTAATAGACTAGTCTAGAGGAATCCAACTGTGCTTGTCAGATGTACATATTTTTTAAAATCTAGGATATGCTTACTCCTATCTCTGAAATATAAAACTCTCTCAGAGATACATATTAAATCTTTACTTATCTAGTCAGTTAACAATCATTAGTATGTCTCAAGTCTGATTAAAGTTTTATAGGTATAATTAAAACATTTAAAAAAAGGCAGTTGCTTTAACAGAAAAGTTTTTCTAAATGAAAAGAGAAGATTCATTTCCTATTTAAGTCATCATTTATCAGAAGGGTTTACTCCATGAACTTTGCTGGCCATGCTAGTCTGATATCATAAAAGAAGTTCTCAACATCAATACATTAGTTCACAGTTATGAAGAATGACAGAACAGAAGAATCGGTAGAATCCCTTACATAAAGAAGAACGGGTAAAGATTTCAATTAACTCTCTGAGCATACTTCAGCAAGGAAAGTCCGAGTGCAAATTAATGAGCAGTGGTTTTTGTCTCTTCATCTGTTTCCATCCACGGACTCTCTAAGGAGACAGCCCCAGACCGTCACTTCTCATCTGTCCCTGCAGAATCAGACTGAAAATTCCTGAGAGCCTTCAACTCAAGTGCAGTTCTCGGTTCAGCTCCTCCTACATCCCGTTCCCAGCCTTTCTCTCAGGCCAACCTAGATTCTACCGAACCAATTTCTCTCTGAACAATGAAAGCTGTACAACATGGCTGCTCTCTGACTACAAACTCACAGAAGTGAATGGAGAACAAAATACGTCATTCAGTACTGTAATCTCGTGACATCGAAGCTAGTCACAAACCAGATCGATCATGACTACATTCGTAAAGAAGGAACACTGAGGCCTGCCAATCACCAAACCCACTTCCTATCACCTTCAATTACGCCATCCCAGCAAGAGCTCAGTCTGGATAATAGGCTACCATTATCCGGTAAAACTTTCATACGGACATTATCAACAGAAAATGTGTGCAAACATATTCAATTGTGAGTAAACGCAATCTTAAAACAAGAAGGCAGGCCACACCCACACACCACCTTTAAACTTTCTAACTCGCCGTGATTCCCTGAAGAAGAACAGCTCCTTAGACTTCCCCTCCTGCATAGTTTAGCTTGGTTTTGACATCAGTTTAATTTCTGACCTTAGTGGAAAAATAAAGCAAATTAATGCCAACCTTTGGAGGCAGGCTCCACATCTTACCTGGAAGAAGATTCTTTGTTGGGCCAGTAAATCCCTTCAGGCAGAAGTTGAGGCAATTTTTGATGGAGAAAAATTTCCTGTAGAAAAAAAAAAAAAGTGGGTCAGTCCATCTTAACAATCTTACTTCAAATATATGGATGTGCACACATGGCTTAACATTTTAGCAAAACAATGAGCAATATTTTATTAAATACAGGTTGCTATAGCTTTGGGCACCTTTAAATTTTTAACAAAACAAAAAAAATGGTACTGAGGAGCTTTTTTAAAATACATAATTAGGTACTATGTTAATGCTAGGGAATAGATTTTTTAAAATAATCCTTGACATTAAAATATTTTATTTCACATATACATCTGTCAGATTCAAGGTTTTTTACCTGTATGTTTGACTGCACAACTTATGGATGCTTAATATGGACATTTAATACAATCACCAAGATGTTATGAGGTGGAACAAAAATACTCAACTGTTATGGAATCTCCCAGAAATTATTAAATTATTTTCAAAATCATTCTTTTATTTTTTAAATAATTCTCTAATAGAATAAATAATAATTGTATATGAAACAATATGGGCTAAACAACCATTGAAAATCTCTCAAACCAAGTTTTTGGAGACCATATTTCATTCTGGTAAGACAGATACTCAACACTATACTAAGCATGGTGGAGGGATATGAAAGACGTAGATGGTTTATTTCTAGCACTAAGAAGTTTTAAATGTTGAAGAGATAATTTAAACTACTTCTTATACAACTAAATTATTTTACAGAATGAACATATAGTTTTGTATGATATATGTCTGCTAGTAAGAATAGTGATACAATAATTGGCCAGTGCAGTGTTTCATTTGAATTTCCAGAGCAATTTTTCAATATAATCTATCTCAAATAAGCCACATCATTTAATTCTTATAATGTAAACTTAGAAAACATATATTTGCCATCTTCTATAATAATTTAAGTTTTGTTAGCTAAAGGTAATTTCCCACCATTTAGTTCTCTCAAATTTGTGCTAAACTCAGATTCCTTTATTCTTTCTATAATTTGCCTTTTTCCCAACTCTTTTCCACAAAATACTTCAGTTCAGTTCAGTTCAGCTTCTGTTAGGTCCATACCATTTCTGTCTTTTATTGTGCCCATCTTTGCATAAAATGTTCCCTTGGTATCTCTAATTTTCTTGAAGAGATCACTAGTCTTTCCCATTCTATTGTTTTCCTCTATTTCTTTGCATTGATCACTGAGGAAGGCTTTCTTATCTCTCCTTGCTATTCTTTGGAACTCTGCATTCAAATGGGTATATCTTTCCTTTTCTCCTTTGCTTTTCACTTGTCTTCAAATGTTTTACTNACCCCTCAGACTGTAGCCTGCAAGGCTCCTCTGTCCATGGGATTCTTCAGGCAAGAATACTGGACTGGGTTGCCATGCCCTCCTCCAGGGGAATTTTCTCCACCCAGGGATCGAACTTGCATCTCCTGAGTATCCTGCCATGCAGGTGGGTTTTTTAGCACTAGCACAACCTGGAAAGCCCTTTATTTACATATGTTTGCGTATGTGCAGATAGTGCAGGCCAATGGAACTGCTTAAAGCCAGCACTCAGGAGACTGCCTATGAAGGAGGCGTTTCATATTTCAGTGTGCAGTGGCAGCGACTCATGGTCCCTGAGCTGCGTCTGACTGACTAAGCACACACAGCACATGCCGGATCACAGAACTGCCAAAAATAGACATGGAGCTTACTGAATCTAATGTCACCTTTTTTTCTGTCTCTCTCACAACTTGGGAAACAGGAAAAGGAAGTCGTATAATATTCAGTGGTTGAGTCGAGGCAAGGATCACAAGTAGCTATTCCCAAGCAAGCACTCTGGCTACTGTCACATAGGATATTTCTAAAGGCAGCCTTAGCACATCTTTAGTGAGCCTTGTGAAGTTTGGGGCTTGTGTGTGAGCTTAGGAAAGCATAAAATGCAAGGTCATTGGAAAACCTATGTCCCTTGAGTTAGGTTGGCATCCGTAGCACATACCGTTACCCACTAAAAGTGTATTCCTTCTCCTCTCCTCTTGATAAATAACCCAGATTTTCTTCTCACCCAAGTATGAGAAAGCTGAGTCCTTCACCAGTTTCAGGACTGCATCGTGAATAGGCTCAGCAACTCATTAGATCACTACACTCCCCATGGAAATGGTTTACCAGGAGTCTGGTTCTACTGCTGCCTCCTCCATGCTCATCCCGTTTCAGCTCTGTTTTCAGGGCTCTTTCATAACTGCAGGAAGGCTGCCACCAACGTGGGCACTTCATCCTAGTGACATGACAACATCGGAGGAAATTTCTCTTTGCCTGAAAGCAAGGCCTTTATTCTTTCTCCAAAATCTCCAAGCTGACAGCCACTCACATCTCAGACGCTCCTTACATCTGGAATCCACCTTACTAGCAAACCTCCTGGCAAGAGAGGTAATAAACATTCTTGTCTAAGCAGGTGTGATTCTCTTTTCCTTTACCTGTAAAAACTTCCCAGCTGGTACAGCAGATAAGATCGATTCCTGTAATCATATGGTAGGATCTTTCCTGGGTGGCACCAAGAGATTAAGAAGACATGAAATAATATAAAATACATATTTTAAAACCAATATTAGTTCTAAGTAGTCATTCTTTGAGTCCCTTATTTGTTGGTTCTCTAAGTAAATGTGTGTTTCAAAAAAGAAAAAACACTGTTGAGATGTCAGGAGACCCAATGGGGTGGAGAAGCTCATAAAAGAAGAAGTGTTTGTTTAAAACTATAGAACAAAAGTGCCTCTCATTCAAAAGAAGTTCTTGGTTTCAAAATTATTCAAGTCTGAGAATAAAAACATAAACGGAATATAAATCTAACATTCAGTTCCTTAGGCTTCTGGTTTGATATGTCTTATAAGTAACTAAGAAAGTTTCAGAGAGAACTAACTTACAAAGTTCTAGGTAACTTCATATAATCTTTTGTTCTTCGTTTTGTTTTTGTGTGGATGAGACTACAAAAGCACTTTTATGAAAGATTAAGGGAAACTATTTGCTTCTTGAATATAAAGAATCTTTGGAACTGCACCTTTGAAACTGCTGCTCCTTGATCCTGGAATATTTTGACAGGCCCTTTCATGATCTTTATTAAGTGAACTTTAGCATTTCTCTTCCCTTTCACAGCATTAAAAATGCCTATCTGTGAAGTAGTTTTTTTTTTTTTTAATGTCTGCCTTTTTCCCATACCAGACACAAAACAGCTTAAAAAGCAAAACATTAAAAATGTGTGCACTGAGAAATCAAATATAAAATTTATTATAAGCAAAAGGATGTCAAACAAAGCCTTCACTCTTGATATTGAACCATAATTTTAAGAGTATCTGAATTATATTCAAGTAGAAATATGATTCCAACAAATATGATGTTCTCTTCATTAATAACCAAAATGAAAACCTTGGAATTATCCAGTAGGAATTAACAGAATTTAATGGTTAAGGAAATCAACCCTGAACATTTATTGGAAGGACTGATGCTAAAGCTGAAACTCCAATACTTTGGCCATCTGATGCGAAGAGATGACTCATTGGAAAAGACCCTGATGTTGGGAAAGATTGAAGGCAGGAGGAGAAGGGAATGACAGAGGATGAGATGGTTGGATGGCATCACCGACTCAAAGGACATGAGTTTGAACAAACGCCAGCAGACAGTGAAGGACACAGAAGACCACTATGCTACGGTCCATGAGGTTGCAAAGAGTCGGACATAACTGAGTGACTGAGAAATTAATGGTCAGTAATTCTTTTACCTTATTCGTGTACTTTCTGTTGAAGAATGAATCCAAATTACTGCATCTTACTAAGATGCTTATGCTAAAGGTGTATTTCAATTTAGAGTTTTCATAAACTTTTGTCTACACATAAGCTTTACTTACGTGTAATTTTTCTTTTATTCCATCCATTTCAAAAGATTAAGTTTTGCACATTGAACTGGCAAAATGCAATTTTCTTTGTTGCCCAAACCCGAAATATCCACCTGAGGAAATGTCCCTGGTTAGTGGTAAAGCTTAACTGCTCACATCAATACAGTTCAGTTCTGTCACTGAGTCAGGTCCAATTCTTTGTGACCCCATGGACTGCAGCATGCCAGGCTTCTCTGTCCATCACCAACTCCCAAAGCTTATTCAAATTCATGTCCATTGAGTTGGTGATGCCATCCAATAATCTCATTCTCCGTCATCATCTTCTCCTCCCGACTTCAATCTTTCCCAGCATCAGGGTCTTTTCCAATGAGTCAGTTCTTCCAATCAGGTGGCCAAAGTATTGGCATTTCAGTTTCAGCATCAGTCCTTCCAATGAATATTCAGGACTGATTTCCTTTAGGGTGGACTGGTTTGATCTCCTTGCAGTCCAAGGGACTCTCAAGAGTCTTCTCCAACACCACAGTTCAAAAGCATCAAATTTTCGACATTCAGCTTTCTTCACAGTCCAACTCTCACATCCATACATAACCACTGGAAAAACCATAACCTTGACTAGACGGACCTTTGTTGACAAAGTAATGTCTCTGCTTTTTAATATGCTGTTTAAGTTGGTCATAACTTTCCTTCCAAGGAGCAAGCGTCTTTTAAGTTCATGGCTACAGTCATGGTCTGCAGTAAAACCAGATGCCATGATCTTAGTTTTTCAAA